TTGCAATACCTGGAGACAGCAGAACAGAAGAGAAAGAACTGGAGAAAAATATAAATTACAGAGACCTACAAATAGAAATAGTACAACTATGTCAAAAGAAAGCAAAGGAAGTATCAACAGAAATAGGTGCCTTAGGTGCAATCCCAAAACATATGAAGCACCACTTGAACACCATCGGCATTGACAAAATCACCATCAGTCAACTGCAAAAGGCAGCTTTACTTGGAACAGCTTATATCCTGTGATGACACCTTTAACACCATTGAACAACAACCTCTGCCTATCTCATGTCCTTGGGAAGGACTTGATAGGTGGATAAAAATGCCAAATCCCATCTAAACATCTGGCTGAGTGTGCAACCAATCATAATAAGTATAATAATGCTATTTCCAATTCTCTCTTAATAAAGTCAACTCTATTATTATTATTTTTTGTTAAATAAAGTAATATTACATAGAGTCAGTTGGAGTCAGCAGTTAAATGTGAGCATTATAAGAAATCATTTTTATCCTCACATCCATAAGACTAAGCGTCATCTTATTGTTGTACATTTCCAGCAGAGGTTTGCATGGTTCCTACTCACTCAGAATCAGATTCCTACTTGGCAACATAGCACAATACTCTTTTTATGTATATTTGAATGTGAAGTGCTTAGGAGCTCGCTTTTTCAGGTTTGAAATTGGGTGAATTTTAAGAAGGATGGATGCTCTGAGCTTGTTCATTATGGACTTGCTCTCCATACCTTTTGTACTTCAGTTCACTTCACTATGTAGGCTGTGTAGGAGGGGAATTGTTATCAAGTACATCTGACAGTCAAAACGTTGGAGAAAATTGATCTAAATAGTGTTCAAAGAGAGATGCCCACTTGCAATTATTTTTAATAAATTCCTCAATGACAGCTGTTAAGTCTGGGGGAAAAAAAGCTGTGTACTTACTGATTCTTTAAAGTAGGAAATAGCCACTGATGATTCATGAGCAACCCATTTCTGAACTTCCAGTGAGCAGAATATATCACTCCATTGTTTGAGAAGTGACTTCTCAATACTGTATATTACAGCTTCCTACTACCTTGAATAACTCAAAACATAATATACTTCTCTTATGCAAATTTATTACAAATATCAGCATCAAATTACTATTACTACTACTACTATTGTTGTTGTTGTTGTTATTATTATTATTATTTACCTTTCTCATTTGAAATCCTCCCTTCTGGGCATGGGATGCAGTCATAGCAGCAAAATGGTTCCCCCTCCTTTACTTTCTTGCTGAAACCTGGATAACAACTTTCACTACAGATAGAAATAGGTTGCACCTACGAATGAAAGAAGATAACAATAGCCTGGAGAAGGGATCCCATTTTTGTCAACTTTTAATACACACATTAGTTTTTTTCTGATCCATATCACTTTTGCTTGTGTTTACCCATCAATAAATTTTGATTTTTTCCATACTTAAAAAAATGTACAATATTAATGCAAAAAGTTTATATATATATATATATATATTAGCTCTTAAAATATCCATAAAGAGCCAATTTAGTATAGTGATTAAGGACCACTATAGGCTAGAAACTGGGAGACTTTGAGTTCTAGTCCTGTCTTAGGCGCAAAGTCAGCTGGGTGACCTTGGGCCAGTCACTTTTTCTCAGCCTTAGAAGGAGGCATTGGCAAACCACTTCCAAAAAAAAAAAATCTTGTTGAGAAAATTGCAGGGATTCGCCAAGGGAGTCACCAGAAGTCAACACTGACTTGAAGGCACAAGATAGATAGATAGATAGATAGATAGATAGATAGATAGATAGAT